GAGCCCTGAGTGCCTCAGGGGAATCCTGCCCCGATGACGTGTAGGCGAGGGAAATGGCGTCACACAGCCAGTGTGAAAGACGCTGGGCCGTCAGCGCCTGACCAAGGGAAGACTCCCTGTAGTGCACAAACAGGTTTTGTGAACGACGAATCCCTGAAGTGCGTGACACATACCGTACAAGCGCGTGCACCGGGCAGAGAAGGTGAGAAGCCGCTTCCTCCTCAGAATTATGGGGAGGAGGAAAAAGTCCAGCCAATGAAATTGACCTGGACTTGAAGGAAGCATTAATGCTTTTGGGCACAAAGGCTGGATTGGGGCATAAAACAGCAGACCCGCCATCTTCCCGGATCCTGAGGCATGCGGGAGCCACTGAAAGGGCGGTCAGGTCACTCACTCTCTTAACTGATGCTAGCGCCAGCAGCAATGCAGTTTTAAGTGACAGGAACTTGAGTGAGACCTGGTCCAAGGGTTCAAATGGGGCTTTGGATAAGCCGTGCAGAACCACCGTTAGATCCCACTGGGGAAAAAGCGGGCGGGACACAGGTCTGTTCCTTCTGACACCTTTTAGAAAACGTTTTGTGAGGGGATGATTGAAAACAGATCTATCTCCAAACCCTTGGTGACAGGACGAGATGGCTGCAGCATATGTTTTAATAGTGCTGAAGGCGAGGCCCCTGTCCATCAGTATCTGCAGAAACGACAGGACATCCGCCAGCTGGCAGGAGAGCGCTTGAACATTCCGCTCTGTGCACCATTTCTGGAAAGCTGCCCATTTAGCAGCGTAAGACGCAATGGTAGAGGGCGCCCGCGCACTCTGAATCGTGGCGACCACATCATGCGGCAGCCCAGAAGCCTCTAAGCGTGACCGCTCAGCGGCCAGACCCACAGCCGTTGGCCTATTTCCGGAGGATGTTTGATTATCCCATCCGCCTGGAGAAGGGCGTCCGCCCTCCACGGGAGCCTCCACGGGGAGCCGGACACTAGCGCTTGCAGGTCCGGAAACCATGACGCGGACAAGCGCCTGGGAGCCACCAGAATCACCGAGAGCCGTTCCGACCGAATTCGGTCTAAGAGACGGGGAATCAGAGGGACTGGTGGAAACGCATAAAGGAGTGCTCGAGGCCAGGGCTGGTGTGAGAAGGCGTCCGCCCCGAGCGGAGGTCCGTCCCGGGGACTCAGGGAAAACCACAGGCGACACTGAGCGTTTTCGCGAGCCGCAAACAGATCCACAGACGGTTCCCCGAACCTGATCCAGATCTGCGATATCAGTGCAGGATGCAGACGCCAGTCGGAGTCGCGGGGTCCCCCTCTCGACAGGATGTCTGCCGCTACATTCAGGACCCCCGGAATGTAGATGGCCCTGATGGACAGCAGGTGGACATGTGTCCAACACAGTAAATCTGTGGCGACACGCAACAGAGGGAGGGATCGAACTCCCCCTTGGCGATTTATGTAGGCTGCCGCCACCTGGTTGTCTGTGTGAACTTCGACATGACGGCCCTCGAGAAGGGCGGCGAAGTGTCTGATCACATTCCTCACTGTCATAAGCTCCAACACATTTATGTGCTCGTGCGTGTGGGAGGGCCAACGATCCGCCACCGTATGGGACAAGCACGTGCCCCCCCACCCCGACAGTGACGCATCCGTAAACACAGATACGTGTGACGCAGGACGTCCGATGGGAACCCCGCGTGAGAGGATGCAGGGGTTCCCCCAGTGAGCGAGGTCCCCGCCCACTGAAGGGGGAATCCTCAACATACGTCTCTTCTGACGTATCGGGTGCACCCGGAGGCGGGTGAACCAACGTTGCAAGCGCCTCGTGTGCAGCAAGCCTAGCGGTACCACAGCGTGGGCTGCGGACATCATGCCCAGGAGTTTCATGACTAACAGGGCTCTCACGATCTTGCGGGGTTGTACACGGGAGATCACCGTGGAGAGATCTGCCGCTCTTGCAGGCGACAAACGTGCTCTCATCAGGGAGGCGTCCAACTCCACCCCGAGATACACAATCGACTGGGATGGAAGAACGGAGCTCTTTTCCCAGTTTATAGAAAACCCCAGGGTCGACAGATGCTCTGTCAACCTCCTGGTTTGCTGTGACGCCTCGTCCTTGGACCGAGCGCACAGGAGAAGATCGTCCAAGTAAAATAAAACCCTCATTCCCTCCGTGCGCAGTGGCTGCAGCGCGGTCTCCAGACATTTGGAGAAGGTGCGCGGGGCTAGCGAGTAGCCGAAAGGGAGGCGATTGAACTGATATTGAACTCCCTTGAACGAAAAACGCAGAAACTTCCGGTGATTCGGAATTACTGGTATGTGGAAGTATGCGTCTTTCAGGTCGATTGACGTGAACCAATCCCCGGGGCGCACATATTCCAGGACTTGCCTCATCGTTAACATGCGGAAATGCATTACTGCTATGGAGCAGTTGAACAGGGACAGGTCGAGAATCGGTCTCATTCCTCCCGACTTCTTCGGTACTATGAAGTAGCGGGAGTAGAAGCCCGAGAGCTCTTGTCCGCGAGGGACTCGTGAAATAGCGTCCTTGGACAGAAGTTCCCGCAGCTCCAGCTCTAGAGCCTGAGACTGTACTTGCGATGTGAACGTCGTCTCCACGATCCCGTTGAAGGGAGGTGGAGTGACCTGAAAATGAAGTGTGTGACCGCAATGAATGGTGTCCGAAATCCATTTGCTCATGATACAAAGGCGGCGCCACTCGTGCGCGCGTTCCGACAGAGGACGCGTGTGCGCGGTCACGTGAGCAACGACTGAGGGTTGTGCATGCGCCCTTACCGCCGTCGCCCGTACCAGAGAACTGGGGGCGACCCATGGAGGGCTGCGCTCGAAAGGGCGGGTGCGAAACAGCTGGAACAGGCTGGTCCGCACCGCGGAGCGTGGAGTCCGAGAGTGAAGGACGAGTGGGAGCCGAGCCTGTGCACGGGGGCGACAAAGTGCCAGCGGGTGAAGCCGCGCACTGTGCCGCCGCGCGTGGTCGAGACAGCGACCTGACATCTCGCCCCACCCGACGATGGGGTGAGAGTTGGGCCCGGCCGGATGCTGGGGCCGGAGCGCAAATGGAGCGCACCCTTACGGTTGGCCGTATATTATGACTGCCTGCAGGAACATGTGTGCGTGCAGCAGTGCTTGGTGTGGGGAACATGTGTGAGAACTCGGCAGGGGATTCTGCGGAGGACTGTAGGATTGTGCTCTTTGAGTGACATGTTTTGGGTTTTATTTCAAAACCAACATCAACATTACAATCATGTACACACACATTCCCCCCAAAGAGTCACTTCCGTGGCTGCTTTCGGCGAGGCTCGTGCACCTGGGACTGCCAAGACGGCGTCTGCTGGCCCCGCCGGAACCGTTGCCCGCCATCTCGCTGGTCCCGCTGATGTGGAGCCGAAGCGGGAGGCCGGCTCCGTGGAGCGGACGGTGCAGCTGGGCGTTTGAAGCTTCCGCGCCGTTCGTCCCATCCTCTGGCAGAACGGCCGGAGTGCGAGGCTGACCGAGGGTGAACCAGGTCTCGTACCGTAGCCGATAGTTCGGCCGTCTTCTGAGCCCTCTCAATGACGCCCCTAAGATGGGGACCAAACAGAACATCGGTGGTGATGGTCCAGCATCTCCCTTTGCAGATGCTCCGGAATGGAGGGCAGGGCCTTGAGCCAGATCGCTCGCTGGATGAGGGTCTGCCAGGCAGCGATGCGAGCAGAACCGGCGAGCACAGCAGCACACAAATTGAGGATAGCATCAGCAGTTTTAGTAATGACGGCCTTCGACTCCTCGGGGGCTTCCAGCTCCTCCATCATCCTCGAGACGCCGAAGGCAAGGAGGGCGATGTTATTCCCTGCAGCGCCGGTCTGAAAGGCACACTGATGTGCGCGGTCGGTGAGCCGCGTCAGCAGCTGGTCATGTTTTGAAGCGGGAACATCTCGCTGGCCAGCGAGGTGGTTCTTGGCGCCAAACAGCGAGGCCAAGTCCGGCTCTAGCGGAGGAACGGACGGCCAGCCTTGGTCGGAAAACCCCTCGACCTTGGTGATGGGCGCAAAGGTGGAGACTGGTGCCTTGAGCTTGGCAGGCTCGGAGAAGGCGGCAGACCAGCAGCTCATAGCAGCAGGGAAGCGCGGCCAAATAGGGTCTAGACAGCGTGTCTGAGTTGCCCCGAAGATTCCCGCCAAATCATCCGCTTCAGGCGGGGCTGGTTCTGGCACAGCTAGCCCCTTGTGGGCTGCTGCCGCAGAAATGATGGCGGGCAGCTCCTGGAGCAGTGCTCTTACTGCTGGCAGGGAGGAACGAGAAGCCACTGGGGCAGAAGGACCCGCTGGGCGGAGCTCATATACCTCCGTTATGTCTAGGAGGGATGCCGCCTCGTCGTAGTTCTCGCTGTCGGTGACGTCATCCAGCCGGTTGAAGCCAGCCGGCTCCTGACCGGCGTCGAAGAAATCCAACGCCTTGTCCAGCGGGTACGAGTCAGCCACCGGAAATTCTTCGTCGGCGGCGGGAGTGAAGTACTCGACCCGGCGAATCTTCTCTGCCACGGGCAGAGCGGCACAGAACGGGCACGAGGCCTGCGGGGTCAAGGCCAGGCCAGCGTGGTGAGCCCCGAGACAGACCTCACACTTAGCGTGCAGGTCTCCGCTGGAAATGGAGCCCGACTGGCAGGTCGGGCAGGGTCTGGCGTCGCTGGACATGGCTGGTAAGTCTTCTCGGATAATCTTGCTCTTTCTGGATAAATTTGCTCTTTAAGAAGCTCTCAGCTTGGCATGAAGAGAAAAAGGAGGCGAGCAGTGGGGTCACTGCGGTTATATACCACGAGGGGGCCCACTATTGGTGGGCGTACATTTAAGCTCTTCATGATTGGCTGATGCGGAGATCATCCTTCCAATAGCAGCTCGCTTAAGGGCTAAGACTAGACGAAATAGAACTTACAGTTTTCCAAATCAACCTTGAGTTTCTGTATCATCTTTTCTTTAACACATATTTGCCCTTTGAGACTGGTTCTCTTTTTTTTAAGTGCACGAACTGTTTTATTTAAAGTCGATTTTTTTGATGTGAGCGTTTTGTTATTTTCCTTGATGGTCTGAATTCTATCTTTTAGGGTCCTTTGATCAAGAGTCATTTTGTTCAGTTTTTTATCACATATTTTAAGAGATTTATTCTCCTGTTTGAGTTCTTTAATAGATTCCTCCTGTTGCGAGATCTTGTTTCTCAAACCAGCTATCTCTTCATTTGCTTTTTGAATTTTAAAGTCATTATCTAAAGCTTTTTGTTTCATATCTTTTTCATACTTCTCATTCGATTGTAATTTTTCGGTAGCTTGTTTCTCTTTCAGTAACAGAATTACTCGTTCATAATCCGTGACTTTTCGAGATAATTCATTTCTTTCCCTCTCCAGTTCCTTGTTGCGTTTAAATAATTCCACGTAAGAGGCAGGCATAGTTGATTTCTGACAATCCGATTTGCTATGTTCAAAGATGCGACTCCTTTGACGTACAAAGGTGGTTTGATCTCATGACAGCTTTGGGACTAAAGATCAAGGGCTTAGCAAGCGCACGTACAGACGTGCACTGTACGGTTTCCTATTTTGTGTCTCAAACTATTCTTCCATCCTTCCCAACCAGTGTCAGAATTGTTCTCCTTCAGACAGGGATGCTTTTCAACTAAAGCTTTTGCAGCCTTTCCAATCTGTGTGCTACTAGGATATGCCTTCAGTTTAAAAATTTTCTTCCCCCATTACCTCAAGTATGTTGTGTTTTTGATCTCTAGGAAGTCTAATTAGTTTCCCATCTTTTTCAAATGCTGCATTACCTTCCTTTAGCACATGTTCCACCTCATAAGAAAATTTTGGAACAATAAAAACCTCTGGCCACCGACTAATACGCTCTGGTGAATCTATGGCATCAGTGCTATCGTTCAGAAGACTTGTCTCACTAGTGCTGGTTGAAATCAAGTCCAGCTCCACTAATCTGATTATTTTAACCGATGCTGTGCTTGGGAGGTGTTCCATTTCAACCAAATTACACAATGCATGATCAAAATCTGGATCTTCAAACTGAAGCCTAAAGTCAAAAGTCAACTTTAGCCTAGTTTTGATTTCATCTATGAGGGCCTGTACACTGCTTGGGCGAGATGGCAGAATAAGTCTTTCAGCATTATCATTATCAAGGATGACCCTTAGCTTCAGTCTCTCTGTTGCCTCCATCTGAAGTTGTAGGTCCTGTAACATACAGGATTCAAATAATATAGCGACATTTCAACACACTCAGAGTTCTCATGCCATGTATGCATTACCTGTACACTGGCAGAAGGGCTGGGGAGATCCGCTGATATTTCAGTTCTGTTTCTTTAGTCAGACACTGGAATGAAATGTTTTGTTGTTAGAATTAGTTCATTTGCAATCTTATAAGCAAAATGTGGCAGGTGGTCAGACAGCTGGCACACAGATTTGACACTATGACTCTCCGGTATATGCTCGACTAGTTCGTATGACCTCAAGTGCTCAACATACAAAGTGTCGTAGTCTTTTAAGAGAAAATGCATTTTGTCGCTGATGAGTAGGATGTTTCGAATCTCTTTGAACTCTGGCAAGGCTGCATAAGCACCAGTACATACAAACATGCCAATTGCAAAGCTTGTGCCATCAATTGAGATATTTTTTGTTCCATAAACTGTGTCACTGTCAACAATACCTGAGATAAATGATTGTGTATCTGCAGGTAGTGATGAGATGTACATAGACTCCATTTTGGATGTCTGAACATGTGGTTTGAAAAACTTTGAGGATGACAAATAAAATGCCATCTGACTTTGATGTCGCTCTGCCAAAGTTTTTAACACATTTTTGTAGTTGTGAGTGTCATGAATAATTTTTTTGAAAACCTTATGCTTTCCCTCAAATCTCATTGTCCAAAGGTGGACCAAGGGACCAAAGCATTTTATCAAGTGTGGGTAATGCTCGATGTAATGATGCTTTGGCCTTAATCGAACATTAGGAAACACTTCTTGGAAGAGTTGCCGGTGGTCCAATATTTTACAAGCCAAGTACTGAATGGTCTCTTCATTAAAAATCTGAGACATGGCAAGCTGAACGACATCCTTTAACTCCATTAGCACTTCCCAAAACGTGTCTCTTTCTGGGACTTTTGAGCCAATGAGAAGAGGCAACATTATAAGCAGGGCATGATTTTCATGAGCATTCCCACCAATGGTCCCTCGACTGGCAAAATTAGTGGGTATTGGATGAGGGCGATCAACTTTGTCAGAATGTTGATATGGAAAGTGCAATATTGCTCGATTTAAGTCTTCTAATGTAAAATATTTACTGGAAATCAAACCTTTTAAGCAATGAGCTATCTCCACTGGAACAACGCCTTCAAACAGGTCGTGCAGGAGGTCAGGTGGGAAGCCTGTGACAGGATGGAAGAATGACAGATGGTCAGAAAGAACACAACTGTTTTTGACACCACAATTTCCCTCACTGCCATCGCTCTGAAGCTCTCGTAAAAGATTGTCATGAAGATCCTTTGTTCTCAGCACATAATCCCCTGTAACTGCATTTTTTGTCTGCATTTCTATTTGTGTGGCATGACAAAACCTGCAGAAATGTGTAGACCTGAAGCTCTCATTGAACCCAGCAAGCCCATGTGCGGCAAGGTTATCTGCCACAACACAGTAGACAGTGCCTTTAAGACATTCACCAAGGGTATCAATGTAGATGCCTACTTCTTCAAGAGTTTTCAGATCATTTAAGAGTGGTGACATCATTTTCTTAAACCCAAACAGGCGCACATCATTAGAGTTGCACAGGAGAGCAAGCTGAGTGCAGTGGAGAGCAGAACGGGATTTAACTGGAAAGTTTGCCAGTGTCCAATAAACTGCAAAAACTTTATGTATTTTCTTTGAAGTACCGAGTGGGTTTGCAATTTCAAAATCATCCACATAAAGCATTATCGAAAGTTTTGTTCCCTCTTGTGAGAGTAGAACATTTTCCCGGTAGTAGGATCCATCACAAAATGACATGAAATGTCCAGGTATCTGAGTGGGTGTTTGTTGAACTTTTTCAAGGACTTCGGTTTTTTTCAACAACATTTGCAAAGATGTAAGAATTGACACATACATGTATGTGTGCTTTGATGATTCAATTAAATACTCCACAGGCTTGACATACGGAAAGTTTGCTTCATAGTAAGATTTTCTCATCTTTGCTGTTGACAGTGGTCCACCAGATGTGATACATTTATGTAAAACATTACTACCAGAAACTGCCTGACAAATGTCATCGACCAGTTTGTCAGTATATAGACAGTTATGCTTCTTCAGTATATCAACTACTGATTTTTTAATGAGAGGTTCTGTTAACAAAAACAGGTGATCAATGTGCTCAATGATAGGGCTGTAGCGAAGCCTCGACGAAGTCGACGGCTCGATTCTAAAAATTTGTCGACGTCAGATCCGGAAGTCGACGCACCGCGCCCACTTGTTGCATCCCCAGGAGTTTGTAAATAGAGGAGGAATCTGCCCGTTTTTCCTCTAGTTCGCCCTCTTCTCCGCCTTCACTAAAATCTCCGCCAAATACCGAAGACCCGGAACAACGTCCGTCCACTACTAGATTATTTTCCTGTTTTGCCCCTTCGTCTCCCGGCAACGGACAACAACTTCCGGGGTCAGATGCGCTGCTTCGTGTCTATCGCAGATGTAGAAAATCACCGGGAGCGCGTCTCCCGCCATTAAGGAGCTTCTTTCAGACATGAGGAGAGCTGTTTTGGTGGTAGCAGTCTCTCCTCCGTGCTGGTCTGTTTGCTGCTGGGTGTTTTTGGTTTATTTAAACTTGGTAACTTGAACTTAACGTTGGTAAAGCTACTGTTAGCATCTTCGCTAACAGCTTCTTGCGTTGGGATAAGCTGTTACGTTTTGGTTTAGAGTTCATCTTTTTTGTGGTGTAGATCTCCCTTTTATTACATTTAGAGTGTTGTGGGTTTTCGGTTTAGTGTAAAATATCACCTGAGTTTGGTTTAACCCGTAAGACCACTCGCCTCACGCACATAAGTGACCAAAACAAAGCAGCATGGAGACACTCCATCTTCTACCACCTCTCAGGCAGCAGCCTGCACTCCCAAGTTCTACACGTCACCAGAACATAACCAACCGCAACACAATAAAAGCAGTGTTATACAAAATGGAAGGCCTGTAGTGTTTATTCTCTTACAGTAAGAATTTATCAATTTTTTTGAGGAATTTATTTGAGATTTTCTGGTTTTTGTTAATTGTGCAATAGAAAAATAATCATTAGATTAATTTTCTAAATAGTCATTAGAATAGTCGACTATTCGATAAAATAATCGTCAGAATAATCGTTTTAAAAATAATCGTTTACCCCCAGCCCTACTCAATGATCTCCTGTGTTGCTCTCTGGGACACATGGAGAATGCTCTGCATTTTCAAGAAAAAGCCAGCTAGATTGTGCTGCAACTGCTCTTCTAAACCGTCAGTTGTACACTAGTGGATGCCACTTCACTTTCATCTAATGGTTCTACTGAATCAAGCTGCATAACATCCTTTTGGCCTACATTTAGGACACTTTGCACAATGCCTTCATCATAATGTGCTGAACTTTGGTGTTCTCGGCATTTGTGCACATTGAATGTTGAGTATACATTGGTTTTAAAATTGCAGCCCTTGAAAGGACATGGAACAATTTCTTTCAGTTTTAAATGCCCCCTCAGATGGATAAACATTTGCCTTTCAATAAATGGCTGCTTAAAGTTACACACAGGGCAGCAAAATCCATAATTATTAAAAGCTGGATTTGAATGGTCTTTTCTTTGTGTAGCAGTATGTATTCTTGACATATGTACCTTTAATGAATTAAATGTACTAAATGTACACATGCAGGTGGTGTAGAGACAGGGTAAAGGTGAAATTGTGGAGTACTGGCCAGGGTTAAGCCGGTAATGTTTCAGCAACATGACTTTTATCGCAGTAGAAAAACTACACAACTTGCTATTCCACATTTTGTCATAAATCAAAGGGTCCCCAATAAGATGTCAAGTGTTTTATATCACCTTCACTGGCCGTTTTTAGGTGTTTTATATCACCTTCACTGGCTGTTTTTAGGTGTTTTATAACACCTTCACTGGCCGTTTTTAGGTGATGAAAAGCAGTGGATGATCTCTCCTTGTGTGCAGCTTCTTCAGTCAAAACACTGTAATGTCACAGAAAACAAAAATGTTAATGTATTTTGGCAAGTGAACAGAAAGCCAGCAAGACAAGACTACAACAAAATATGCTGAAGTTGAATGGCAGGAGTTTCAAAAAACTGTTTATTGAGTAAATGATAAAATAGTCTTGCTTAATGTTATGTGATGGACAGAAGACGGAAGCTGCCGAGCTCCGAGGGTGTGGTGATTGGACACCAGCTGGTCCTCGTTATGGATAACGAGGCCAGGGAGGATAAAAGGGTGACAGACCTACTGAGAGGGGTGCGTGGTCGACCTGTCATTGTGGCATCGGACTTTGGGGGGTGGGGTCGTTCGCAGCCGGGTAGGGCTACCGGCGACGAAGATAGCTGAACAGGTGTTTAGTGTTCCAGCGCCAGGAGGGAAGGCTGGTCACCTTCTTTAGACAGTTAGGGCTGGGCATAGGTGATGCCAAGGCCGCGCCGACATCTGCCGCTACGGACTCTGGCAGTGGACTTATGTTGTGGATTTACCCGCCGTCCTCGCAAGCTACACCCCGGGGCGTTGGACGGCGTTGGCAGCTCAGACCCCGGGGACGGGGGTCACACCATCCGTGACAGCTAAGTACCGCTGCTTATGTGACTCATGCTGGACAGTTGGTTTTAGAAGAGAGGGCTTGGGCCATGGTGTTTTATCGTTGTGTTTTATTATTGATTGTGCAATAAAGTGTGTCTTTTATAAGTCGTTGCCTACTGGTGGTGTGTTCAGGTTCTGACCGGAGGGCAAGATATTCTGCCCGTGCTGCCCACGGCTACTTTTATTACAGTTAGAATGAAATTAATATACCCTTTTCACACATGTGGTGTAAAAAATCCTTGAATGTTACAAAGTGCTGTCAGAAATTACTAACAATAATTTAAACGTTAAGTTTTATGTCATTAATTTTGGAAAAAGTTTCAGCACTTAGTTTTTACTAAAATGGCGCCCATGGTTATATTTAAATTTTTTACCAGCGGTCTTGTCGAATACTCTAAAATGAATCGTACATAAGGACTAGAAAAAGTTACGCTATAAATGTCTAAACTTACTTTACTGTGTGAAGCTTTAAAAAGATAGACTAGCAACAACCATCTAACTAAAATAAGCCACCAACCGTTATATTTTAAATCAATACAGGCGGGTATCTTAAATGAACCATGTAAAGAACACGAGAACTAGAACGTTAAGATAGAAATTAATACACTTTATTTTACAATTTAAAGTAATATGAAGTTGTTAAGTTCAGTGAAAGGGTAGGTTAAACTAAACTAAAATATAACTCTAACCGTTACTTTTTAGATTTGTACAGGCGGGCATCTCAAAGGAACCATGTAGGCTGTGTTAAGAAAACACGAGGACTAGAAAGTTCAGATTGGAATTAAAAAAACGTTATTTTACTGTTAAAGATAATATAGTTAAAGTAGTGGTAACAGCCTCCTCAGAGTCTTACTCCACCCACATTTCATATTTGAAAAATGCGGCCCAAAGAGGCGTTTCCTGTAAGACCGAGAAGGCGGAGCTACGGCCGTGATTGACATACTGAAATTTGAATACAGATGGCGACGGAGAGCGACACTAGCTCAGAGCAGTCATTCGAGGTGGAGGACTTTTCCCCACCTTCTTCCCCAGAGGATAGGGAGGAGGGCTTATTGGGGGAAGCAAGCGGTCCTGAACCGTATCTTTTTGAGCCACTAGCTCGTGAGTTGTCTGAGGCCCCTGGAGCCGAGCCAGCAGGAGTATCAAGGCATCGAACGGGTCTAGTCTCTGAGTGGTAAGTAGCTTTTAGCCACAGCTAGCTATATTTAGCTTAGCTAAAAGTAATATTGTATGACTGCCTCAACAGGTGCACCTGCGGCCACTGCACATCATTGTCTGCCAGAGAAAATGTGTGCTGCAGAGAAACGCCCAAGGTATAAAAATAAAAATAAAAGTACCCCACCGCTGACGTCGTTAGGTCCGTTTTAATCACAAGCCCCCCTATCATTTTGGTTTTATTTTTTCAGTTAACTTTTTTTTATTTGTTCACATCTACATGCTCAACACAATCACGACACGGGTAGTTGGTACATGAGTTTTTTTTTTAGTCTGAAACAGAAATAATAATTAATGAATATAGAACTACACCGTCGCACACAGGAAGTATCAAGAAAGGACTAAAGTCTATACGCAAATTCTTCAAGATTGGTGAGTTACGTGTGAATAGAAGACGGTATTTTGTACTAGTAGCGACTATTACCGTGTTATTAGAGTAGAAACTTGCCAGCTAACAATCCCATTCAGGGATCTTATATCAAATCTTATAGCTAAACCATTTAATCAACCAAAGAAGAATAAAGACATCGGGTAAAGTTGTCACATGTGGCCTTAATTGTTTTTTTTAATCAGCTTCCTTGTTTTGTCTTGACTAATTGACTTCTCGATTAACCTTTTTATGATAGTCCTCAGGTGACTCTTTCGTAGTGGAAAGTGGACAGGTAGGATTGTTTAAGTTCATGCACAAGTTGTCTGACTTTATTTACTTTATACCACAAAAAATGGGATTTTTTTAAAATTAGATTCACCTTTTAGAGCTCAAATATCTTGTGGAAGCATTGCAGCTTTGGTTTAGTTTATTATGGTCTGCTGCTTTTATTGTGGATAAAAAGACTTAAGACCTAAATCATACTTTGACTTTGAAAATGAACGATGTTACTGGTGTGTGTGTGTGTGTGTGTGTGCGTGTGAACCAGGTCACTCTTGGAAATTTAAATTTACTGTATTCGATTGGAATATCTCTGTGAGTTTTTGCCTGGTTAATTAACGGAATAATGATAAAAATGCAATCTTTGCTTGCATTGGCAGATGCAGTAACGCCAGAGCTGCTACAACAGGATTAAAATCAAAGCCTGATCCACTAAAATGGCATCTTCACAAGTGCGACTGCGAATCCTCCCCAGCGCTCGTTGTCTTTTTGACAAAATGGTTCAGATTAGACTAGAAGGCCTTGCTCCTCATAAGTCGGTGAAGCTGAGATCCAAACTGGTTGATGATAGGGGCGTCATTTTCACAGCATCTGCCCTTTACGTTTCGGATAAAACCGGCCAGATAGATCTCTCCACATCACCTTCCCTGGCAGGGAGCTTCACTGGGGTGGAGCCCATGGGTTTGTTTTGGGCCATGACACCAGACACGCCGCACAGTAAGCACCTGAAGAAGAATGTACTCAGCCCGACGTCAGTGGAGTTTCAAGCCCTCTGTGAGGAGACCGGTGAGCTCTTGGCGTCTGGAACTAATGAGAGAGAATACCTGATTGAAGGAATGAAGAGAATCCCCGTGGCGGAGGGAAATATAAGAGGGGTCCTCTTCATACCACCAGGTAAGCTGTGAGGTGGGACACTGGTTTAAATGGCTCCTTTACTTTTCCTTTTTAAGAGTATGTTGTTTCCTCTACAGGAGAGGGCCCATTTCCTGGAATCATTGATTTGTACACTTTTGGGGGAGGCCTTACTGAATCCAGGGCCAGCCTACTGGCAGGTAGAGGTTTTGTGGTGCTGGCCCTGGCATATTATCGTTACAACAGTTTACCAAAAAACCCACAAAACCTGAACTTGGAGTACTTTGAAGAGGCTTTAACATATCTGAAAAATCACTCCGAGGTCAGTAAGAAATGTTAAGCAGATGATGAAGATGGTGTTCAAAGTCAAAACACACTGTGAATGTCGCCATCTGCTGGCTGCTTTATTATGTCACAGTAGTGTTAAACTGTTTAACATATTAACGTAACGCTAAACAGTTTCCTGCTCCTCCACCCTACTGGTTGAAAGTGGAACTACAACTGTCACAAACAACCCTGCAGCCTGCTGTAGCTAGCGCTAACAACGAGCTAACACTAACATGAGCTTTGCTGTAAAAGATCCACACTGTTGGACAGAAAATATTATTGCTTACAAGTCCAGTAGCAACAAAGCCAGGTCATCATCGGTCTGTGAATTTTGTTGCCTTCTTCAGCTGTCTCAAGCTAATGTAGGCTGTGACGATGTTCACTCTTGTTTTAGCTCTTTGCATCGCCTCCAAAGACACAATGCTCTGCCTTACTTCCTGGCTTTGCCATGATGCCAACAAAGAAGCACATTTTTTATCTTCTTCTTGTGCTTTTTATTAACGATCTACGAACTGAAAAAGTTAATTGCTAGCCTTTTATTAGCTAGAAGCACAGAAAACAGAAGTTTAACAGCCGTTAAGCAGGTAAAGAGAGCCCCATATGGCATTTACCCGCTCCTCAAAACTGTTAAGTGCTGTTTCTGGTCAGCAGAGGCATGCAGAGATGTAGATGTCGATATTCGGCCAGTTTGCTGCTGGAGACAAATTGTGAAAAACGGCTTTCATAAGGCATTTTACCGAATGTCTCAAAATGTTTGCAAAGGCTTTTAACTTCTTCTTGTAAGATTCAGAGTCTTGTTTATGTGTGCCTGGAACTTGTAACAATGTAAAAAAAATATATAAATAAACAAAGTCAGACAAAAAAAAGAGGCAACGGACTCAACGGAACTTCTATGGGAACTGCAGGAGTGTGCCCCAGACAAGCTGGTTCTCAAAGTCAGAGACTCTTGGTCAGCTTGCTTCTCACACCAAACCTTCGGTCAGGAATCTTGGCGTGACCTTTGACCCAGCTGTCACCCTGGATTCTCATGTCAGTTCTCTTGTTCGCTCTTCCTTCTTCCATCTCAGGAACATTGCTAAGCTGAGTCCCATTCTGTCCCGCTCTGAACTTGAGACAGTTCTCCACACCTTCATCTCCTCACGCTTAGATTACTGCAACTCTCTTTTCACGTGTCTGAGCAGAACCTCCCTGAACCGTCTACAGGTGGTTCAGGATGCCTGTGCTCGGCTTCTGACCAAGTCCCCCAAACACACCCACATCACCCCGCTTCTCCTCCAGCTTCATTGGCTCTCAGTCAACTTCAGGGTTCATTTCAAGATCCTGGTTCTGGTCTATAGGGCCTTACATGGACAAGCACCATCTTACATTGGTGATCTTCTTAGGCCCTACACCCCCAGCAGGTCCCTGAGGTCCAGTGACCAAAGCCTACAGGTTGTGCAGTACCAGGCTAAAGGTCAAAGGTGACAGATCATTTGCTGCTGTGGCCCCCAGACTCTGGACCTCTCTCCCCCTGAGCCTGAGATCAGTGGTCTCAGTGGTCTCCTTTAAAAGCAGTTGAAGACTCACTTGTTCAGGCTCTGGTGCGATCTTCATCACCCTCTCCTTGTTCTGCTCTCCCCACCTATTCCACCTTCCTCAGGATCCACTATTCACTCTCTCTCTTTCTTTACATTTTTAATCACAATGGTCTATTTTTTGCTCATTTTAAATATATTTGTAATCATTTTCTAATTTAAAAAAAATATATTTTTACTTTTTTTTGTGAAGCTCCTTGTGATTTTTATCTTGAGAGGTGCTATAGAAATGATATTTTCTTCTTCAAAAGTAAACAAAGAATGAAATGCAAACAAATTTGAGACATTTTACGGCTACATTGTGGGTGGAAAATTAGCACAATGTTCATGCAAGCAACACGGTTGAATTTCAGTTAAGAACCAACCTGATTTGACTGAAGATTAGCCGTCCAGCGAGGTATTAGTTTTTTATTTTGTTCTCAGGCTCTAGGGCCTTTAAAACCTACAGCTCAGAGTCTTTTTAGACCAAGCAGAGTCAAACTCTTTAAACTAAAATTGTCTGCTTCTCCACACAGGTGCAGACTTCTCGGATCGGGATCATCTCGCTCTCACATAGCGGTGCTCTGGCCTTGTCAATGGCGTCTTTTTTCTCTGGAATCACCGCAACCGCCTGCATCAACGGCTGCACTGCAAACACAGTGATTCCTGTTCACTACAAGAACCAGGTACTTCCTCCACTTACACCTGTCATAAAGAATATTACAGTCACAGACTCTGGACTTATTGACATACGAGACGCCTTGCCAGATCCCACTCTGGAAAGGAACAGGTCGTCTTTGATTCCCATTGAGCGGGCCACCTGCCACTTCCTGTTTGCCTTCTCTGAAGATGACCACAACTGGAACAGCTCCTTTTTTGCCAAGCAAGCTGCTTCAATCCTCAAAAGTCATGGAAAAGAATCATTTGAGCTGTTCGGCTACCCGAAAGCCGGACACTTCCTGGAAGTCCCCTACACGCCGTTTTGTCCGTCTGGGTTTCACGGAGCTGTGGGGAGGGAAGTGGTGTTTGGCGGGGAGCCAAAAGCTCACTCCGAGGCTCAGCTGCACCTGTGGGAGAAGGTCCAGCTGTTCTTCAAGACCCGCTTGGGCAGCAAGAATACTGCTGTATAAATCCTAAAGCAAAAGAGTTTGTTGTCTTTGAGTCACTTATAAGTAAAGAGTCTAATAACTGTTAATATTTATGATGATTTTAATGGTGGAGTTGTTTGGTTGGTGCGGTTTGTGGATGTTTTTGAGATTTTCCAGCTATCTCAAAGTTTGTCTTTGTAAAATATAACAGTCACACTCTTACCTGTTACATATAGACTCCTGAATGGATTTTACTCTGACAAATAGCTTTTATGCCCTTTTAGATTGAAAGGCTAACAGCTAGTGCAGCATCATAACTACCATTGATATTTCATTGGGGTATTTCCATGTTATTATTATAAGGTTAATTGTGTAAAAAATCACCAGCATCAGAAAACTACCGTATTTTCCGGACTATAAGTCACACTTTTTTTTTTCATAGTCTGGCCGGTCCTACGACTATATACCAAATTATGTAGGCTATACCGCTCTGCTGAGGGCCGGCTCCGACCCAGGAATGAGCTCTCCCCGCCCGCTGGGAGGGTTTGAAACACCGCCATCCTCTGCTGGAGACCGTGGCGCGCTGCTGCGCCCTGGTTGTTTATTCTGTTATTGTTACTGGTACTTGTCTTGCAATGTGAAACGCTTGTTCTCAGATTTTGTAAGAAAAATAATAAAATTTCCCCCAAAATGCGACTTATATATGTTTTTTTCTTCTTCATTATACATTTTATGTCTGGTGCGACTTATACTCCGGAAAATATGGTATGTTGTGTGAATAGTTATAAAATTTGGAGCCTGGAGCTGTCTTAGGAAATCCAGTGCTCAGATTAGTGTTTAGCTTATCAGTCCTGTGGAAAGAAACACTATAAACAGGGTTTTTTCTGGAAGCTATCAATGATGGGTTGGTTGTTATTTATTCTTAAATTTTTGTGGAAACATTCCAAAATTCCATAGATGAATAATTTCTTTGTCTTGAGTCCAGTACTCCAGTGGTCACTCAACACCCAAATGTGGTTTAATAGCAAGTTGTCTGACCATCATCATCATAAAATGATCCCAAAGTCAGAACAACAAAAATATTCATAAAACAACTGAAAGCGAATCCATCCATCTTCTATACCCACTTATCCACGCAGAGGAGCTGGAGCCTGTCTCCAGCAGTCTCCAGGCGGGGTACACCCTGGACAGGTTGCCAGTCCGTCGCAGGGCAACACAGAGACATACAAGACAAACAACCAAGCGCACACACTCACATCTAGGGATCATTTTAGAGAGACTACTCAACCTGACAGTCATGTTTTTGGGCTGTGGGAGGAAGCCGGAGTACCCGAAGAGAACCCACGCTTGCACATGGAGAACATGCAAACTCCTAATAGAAAGACCCCAGGCCAGGATTTTAACCCAAAACCTTCGTACTACATGGCAACAGTGCTAGATACTGCGCCACTGTGCAGCCTGAGGAAAGTTAGTGAAAATCAGAAAATTTCATTATACAGATGAAGAAAACATAAAACATCCAAGTGTACGCTTAAAAAAAGCCATAAAAAGATCATAAGTCAAAACTAAAAATATAAAACAAATGAAAGGTGATCACAAAGAAGAAGAAAACAAGATTTAAGTAAAAGCAGCGTTAACCCCTTACTGCTCACTATATGCAAATAAAAAGTGCAACAGGATCCCAGCTTTCAGAATATGTTTAAATGACATTTATCACACAAACAGTTTAAGAGTTACGGTATCTTAGATGTAGAAGCCATTTTGCGTCGGCACAGACAACAGGGTCTTCAGCAGCGGTTTAACCCTCCCACTGTCCCATTGGATGTGACCCCGCGAGGAAAGTTGACCACTGAGCAGGGTTGATGGTTTATCCCCTGGGTCCATGTGGCAGGGGTGAGGAGTGAGCACCACCTCACCCCTGCCATGCGGACCTCAAGGGATAAAACATCAATCCTGCTCAATGGTCAACTTTCCCTGCGGGGTCACACCCAATGAGACAGTGGGAGGGTTAAAGGTGTCCAGAATGTCGTTACTATGTACGGATAAAGGAAGCTGATGCCAAACTCGGGGTGCAACAGCCTGGAAAGAGTGATCACCTCGACTTTTATTTCTGGTCTTTAGAACTTCTAGAAGGTTCTGGTGGGTGGACCTGAGGGTTCGGGTTGGAGCATGAGGCTTTAACAGTTCAGTAATAGGGAGGAGCTTGACCATGTAGAGCACTGAAAGTTATAGTCAGGATTTTAAAATGAACTCTAAAGTTAACGGGTAACCAGTGCAGAGACATCAGAATAGGAGTGATGTGAGCTCTTCTGTTTGCTCCAGTTAAGCCTGCCGCACATGAGACCAATCTGCTGAGCAAACGGCCTCGAATGACTGTTTGCTCAGCAGATTGCTCGCTGTGTGCGCCTGATTTTCACTGAGTTTTCCACCTCACGAGAAGCTGAGCCGAATATCTGACCAGTCAGATATTTTCCGCCTCATGGGGGGGGGGGGGGGGGGGGGGGGGGGGGGGTAGGGGGTAGAAGCTCACTGTGCGCGCACTTCTGGGCTGAGCTGAGCTGAGCTGAAATATTCTGGTGGCCAATAAAAGCTCGTTCTCCGCTTACATGACCCCAAGATGTATTTAGATGCAGCCCCCTGCCCAGTGTGCGTGTCTGAAAAATAAACAAAATGGTACCTTGCAGATCGATGGGCCCACTGTTTCCATTACCCTCTCGAAGGATCCGGGCAGCGATACTGTCCGAAGGATTCTGAGTCTTCCAGGCGCATCTCTTGGAGTAGATTGGCATAAACTCCTTGCCTGGCCCATCTTTCCAGCCACCGTACCCATACTTTACTAACCTTGAAATGCTGGTGGTGGCGGCGCTTCATCCGTTTCCAGCTCTATCTCCGTTTTGTTTATTTTCTGACATGCAGACGGGGCTGCCATCTTGGAATCACGTGATCAGAGAACGCGCTTTGATTGGCCACTAGAATAGTTCAGCTCAGCCGGCAGCTCACAGGGCGAGTTTCTACCCCCCGTGAGGCGGAAAATATCTAACTGGTCAGATATTCACCTCACCGTCTCGTGAGGCGGAAAACTCAGTGAAAATCAGGCGCACACAGCGAGCAATCTGCTGAGCAAACGGTCATTCGAGGCAGTTTGCTCAGCAGATTGCTCTCGTGTGCGGCAGGCTTTAGGAGTCTCGCTGCAGAGTTCTGGACCAATGGTGATAAAGCGCTTTTTTGTTACATTTATTTATTTATTCACTTCAGACCATTCAAACAAATGAATATCAAATACGAAATAAAGTTCCTCTTTAGACGATTTAGAGATTTCACTTTGGTCCTTAAAGGGGAATAGGGAGAAGCTCAAAGCTTTTCCTTGCCCTATCCCATGTGAAAAGTGTGTTACAGTAATCTAGACGGCAGGAGGTAAAAGCATGGATAACTCTCTCCAAGTTCATGTTTTGACACCAACCTTTGCAGTTTTGGAGGTATTTGTCAAGTGATAAAAACTGTTTGGAACCAGCGTTTTTGAGTTTTCAGAGGCGATATGTGACTACTGCAGATGTATTGAGAAAAAAATAGATCGAACTTGGTCTGTGATTGCCTTAAATGAAAAATCTTTGATATGGAGTGGTTTTGAGACAGCACTGTAATCGTCTCCGATTTGATCTCTGTTTCTCCAAACTGAGGTTGTTGATGGAGATTACCGCAGTTAAATGCTCAGAACCCCTCTGCAAAAAACAAACAAACTGGGATTTATATAACACCATAAGTAAATAAAAATATCTGAGCTATCTCTTTAAGTAAACTATTTTGGTAAAGAGAGGTATGTCCACCCCCTTTTGGTATTTTTACCAAACTAAAGAGGAATGTGACGAGTTCCTGTTAGAGAACAGAGGGATGAAAACAACAGCATCGATCTAGAAATCAACAGCATCGGTCTGAAGTGGGATCCTGATGGGGACTCAAACCTAGAATATTACTTTAATCATAATTTAGTGTTTAAAAGTATTTAAGATGATGTGAGAGGTTTTTATTAAAAATGTAATGAGTTATTGTCTGATTCTGCCTCATTTGTCTATTCAGCATCAAAAGATTGTGTTTAATCTATCGTTCATGAGGTTCTGAGGAGTTTCTTGGTGCTAGAAGGAGGAGCTCTCAATCCTCATGCTTGCAGCACATGCATGGAGATATCACACACACACACACACACACACACACACACACACACACACACACACACACACACACACTGGATTTGAGTAGCAGCTCTGCAGCCGCCGATTTTCCTGTACAGAGAAGATGGTGATGTGTTTTTGGGGTGCAAGCGTCCTTCCTGGAATGGACATTCACGAACCAGTGTGGTTTTGGGAATGCTGGATCTGAGGGAGCTCCATCCATCCAGCCATTGCTCGTGTGACTTGTGATTTCCATGCATGCACACGGGGGAATCACAGCTTCCTTTGCTGAATGAACAGGATCCTCTCGTAATTATCTAACATTTTCTGACAAAAAGAAGACCACGTTAGTGGCAGCAGCGCGGATCTCCGTGCTGCATCTTTTTCACATCCTGCCGTATGTTGATTTCCTGCTCTTTGTGTTTATTTTATTCTCTACGATCAGAGAATCGGGTCAGGAATCCTGGCTGCCCAAGCTCTCTTCAAATCGTCGGGGATCTTGGTGAATCATGGACGTCTGGAGCCCGGCGGTCAATTTCACAGCAGCGCACCTCTGGCTGGACATCCAGAACGCGTCGAGCCCGGAGACCCGGTGGGACAGCAGTCCGTCCGCCGAGGGGACCGGGCTGGACGAGCAGCAGCGCCTCGTCCGGGAGCAAGCCTACCGGGACTTCACCACCACGGTCCAGGTTTTCATCCTCATAGGGTCGCTGCTCGGTAAGTCACAGGGCTGCGGCTCCCCCAAACATCTCCATTGGGTGCACGTTTCTATTTCAGACTTAAGTTTTAGTACTCCAGCATATAGGGTGCAGTTTGCAAATTAATACAATTTAAAAATGTGCTCAAATTTAGTTTTAAATAATGCAAAAACCAAATATTTGCATTTAACCCTTTGATGCATGAATTAGGAAATCTTCAACCACCATGATTTTTTTTTTATTATTTTCATTCATCTTTAGGTGTGAATGAAACAAATTTCAACAAATATTTTTTGTAACATTTAATAATTTACAAATAATTCGACAGTGTGCGTTCTGAACATGAAATATGTTGGCTTGACTTACTGAAGTCCAAATGAGGGGCTCAAATGCAATACAGTCTTCAACAGCTGTGCTTAATAGCAACAACAAAAAAATTGAGCATAGTGACCATTATGCATCAAAGCTTGATAATTAATTTCAGTATTTTAGTGTCAAATCTAAACATATGGTCTAAAGTTAAACCTAAATATTTAGAATGAAATGTAAACATCTGTACATCTAAAATCGGATCTGAATAAATAATTTTAAAACATAACATTCAAAATCAAATTAAATTATGTCATTAAACAATTATAACAATTAAAATTGGAATTTATAAATTAAAGCTAAATCTTACGCCCGTCTGGTGACATTGAGGGGGGAAAAAGTGTCTTGAGGCCACAAGTAATTTTTTTGGTAACACTTCCATTTACAGTCCCATAATTACTAAGTACTTACATGGTAATTACATAGTAAGTTAAAGTGTATTATTGTTTCTGAGTTCCTAAACAGTTATTACCATGTAACTGCAGGTTCAATTCTGGTTTTTATTTTTATTAATCATTCCCAGTAAATACTGCTTTACACAATAATTACACTTTATTACACAATAATACACTTTAACTTGTTATGTAATTGCCATGTAAGTACTTAGTAATTAGGTGACTGTAAAAGGAAGGGTTACCATTTTTTTCCCTCAATGTCAGATGGGCTCCGTAAAACCTGAATGGACAGACAAAATGAGACAGTGAATGTCTCATTCACCTTTTTTGTCATGAATGAATGCCTTGAGTCATTTTCTGTAGAAAAAATGGTCTTGCGCTCCTGTTTCAAGGGTAAAAGTTTGCCAGAGAAGAAGGTCTGCAGAAATGACAGGAATATGAGTCTTACTCATCAATATTCATGAGATTCAAACATATTGCCTCTGATTGGCTAACAGCAACACAACTCTTCTGCCGCCTTTATTGTGGAGTTGCCATTGGTTAGCTTGTAGCCGTGACATGTTCTGCTCTTTACTGGCTGCAGAATCCATACAGCATTTCAAAGATGCAAGCCAAAGTGGGCGGGGCCATTAATGCAAATTTTCCCTGTAACATAGAAACGACTGGCTCTTCCTGACCTGATTGTTTTCCCGTCTGTGGCTAATGCAGGCTATGGGGGTTGAAGAAACTTCAAAAAGAACAAGTATTACTCAGTTTCTCAGTGAACAAGTCTTTTAAAGTTCAAAAAGTTTAAGTTGATATGCAAGTTTAACTTGATAACAAACAGAAGTAGCCTACCAAATGAAGCATGGTTCCCCTCGCTAACATTTTAGAGTCCATTTTGATTGTGAAATTAAGGTAATTTAAAAATTCAGGAAGGATTCATGGATAGACAACACCTTCATCTTCATTCTTCTTTTATTCTTGAAGGCTATTTTTAAGATTTAGTTAAATAGTCAGATGTAACTTAAGATATTTAAATGTGTTTCTTAACAATAATGGCCTTATTTCAATTTATGTAATTTTACATTGTAAGTTGTGGTGGAAAAATGGAATAAAAAAATTCAAACCACCTTTTGTATTAGAAAGTAAACATGACAACAAAACAACCATTTTATTATTATTTTGTTTATTTTCTGGATTACTTTATAATTGGCACCCCATACCTTCAATAGCAATCCCTATGAGCTTCTGAATCTGGGTCATGTGGATCAAAGGGATTATTTACCCCAGCTTTAATTGGGACATGCATTGCTAAAAGAGCTAAAAGATCATTTCAGATTTAAAATAACAGCAACTTATGTAAGTTACTGTGTGTTATCCTCGCAATAAATCACCGTCATATTCAGGCAAAACAGCATTTACAGTCAGTAGAGTTTAAAACGCTCACAAGCGTTTCCTGTTTGCTTTTATTTTAAAATATGAGACTAATCAGCTATTGTTCAAACAAACACAGACACCTTCGATCTAAGACATGTCTCTGGTTCTATTAGCGTGTCCCTGTGATCCGTGACCCAGGACATGTTGATCCCACACATCTTGACACGAGGACCGGGAGTATTTATGGATTTAGATGTTTTGTAATTCTCAGTTTTATGTTATGGGGACTCATTAAGCATCCTAGCTCATTAACTTTGATCATTTTGAAGTGTTTCTGCCTAAGCATTACATATAATTATCCTGTTAAAAATTACTTCCTGAATGGCCTCAGTTCAGAGAAATAGCTTTTACTTCCTTCGGGATAATGAGTGCAGCTAACACCAAAGTGTGTTTTTAAACAACTCAGTTCTTAAATATTTCACATAACGTGACAATTTCTATCACAAAAATGTTTTTTTCTTATATAAAAGTCTACTGAGTTAAATTACATAAAGGTTATATATACAACTAGGCATTCAGCGATGCCTAATGTTATTTTTATATTTTAAAAACTTGCCATTTGCCTTTCAGCAGGCAATAGAAAAACAATCAGGTCTCATTAATCAACATGTTAAAAACTGTAATAGTTGTCTTTTCCCAACGACCTTTAATTTCAAGGTTTAAAATTAAATGCCATGCTTTTAATTAAAGATCCAACAGCAAAAGAGAATGTGATTTCAGAGATGTATAAATATATTTATACTTTTATATCCTCATAAAACCTTTATTTCTCATAATATATCTGCAATAAATAAACAAAACCTTCCGAATTCATCAGGCAGGAACTGAACACGGTGGTTTTATATGGATCTAATAAATTGTGAAGAACTGTTTGTGCTGATCTCGTTCTTTGTGCATTTAATATTCATCCGTGGGTTTCCATGTAGCAGCTTCTGGATTCCCAGAATGCTTTAGAGGGTGTTTATTTTTATTCATCCCAAGGTTTAGAAACAAAAATAAGCAGAATCTATCCATCCTAACACATCATAGCCATCTCACCATGGAGGCGTCCAGGAGGCGTCCTAACCAGATGACCGAGCCACCTCAATTGGCTCCTCTCGATGTGGAGGAGCAGCGGGTCTACTCCGAGCTCTTCTCAGATGACCAAGCTTCTCACCCTATCTCTAAGGGAGAGCCCAGCCACCCTTCGGAAAAAAACTCATTTCGGCCGCTTGTATCCGTGATCTTGTAGTTTCGGTCACTACCCAAGGCTCGTGACCATAGGTGAGGGTAGGAACGTAGATCGACCGGTAAATCGAGAGCTTTGCATTCCGGCCCAGCTCTCCCGTCACCACGACAGACCGGTACAACGTCTGCATCTCTGCAGATGCAGCACCAATCTGCCTATCGATCTCACGATCTATCATCCCCTCACTTGTGAACAAGACCCAAAGATACTTAAGCTCCTCCACTTGGGGCAGGACCTCATCCCTGACCCGGAGAAGGCATTCTACCCTTTTCCGACTCAAGACCATGGTCTCAGATTTAGAGGAGCTGATTCTCATCCCAGCTGCTTCACACTCGGCTGCGAACCGCTCCAGTGAGAGCTGCAGATCACACTCTGATGCAGCCAACAGGACCACATCATCCACCAAAAGAAGAGACCTGATCATTAGACCACCAAAACACAAAAGTTATGAACAGGATCGCTGCAATAATAAATGTCAACAGACTGGCCTCAGTAAGATACTAAAACCTGCTTTAAAATCCTCTTTAACTTCTGATGTAACTAAAACCAGCTGAAGCTGTTCGTGTGCTGTTTTACTTTTAGAAACAAAGGAATTAAGGTGATCTTATGCAACTGTTCATGACTCCCATTCCTTTTTTTAACGATGGCGTTGCCTCAAACCAGCTGCGTGTTTTTGTGTCAACTGGACCGTAGCTCATGTAGATGTGTTTTTTTAAACACTCCACAGAAAGCATCCAGCACGTCGCCGAGCCCAGGCCTTTCCCAAACAACAGTGGAGGATGAGTGTGTTTTCAGCACAGGATGTTACAGGCACATTTGTGACAAGCAATGCACCGCTCATTTCAGGCAGGATGATTACGTTTCTGCCTGTCGATGTGATGGAGTGGATGTCAAAGCTGGGGGTGTGTGAGCCTGATCTGAGCTGTCTATTCATTTACACAAGGCTGTCTTCCTGCGTCGCCGGCAGAAACAGCAGGAGAATTCTCCAGGGACCAACAGGGCCACAAGGTCAACCCAGTCAGAGCTTATTAAGGGCCTAACAGGGGTGGACTGGCCTATCTGGCATTCTGGCACTGTCCCGGTGGGCCGCTTAGCCAAGTGGGCTGCTTGCCCAGCTTGGGCCGACACCACTCCACAGTTGGCGCATTAGCTACATGGTAACCTGAAGCTAACAGAGTTTTTCCAGGCATTTTTAACAAGAAAAACGACGCGGTAGAGCGATGACGTAGGAGTTGTTTTACTGCGTTAGCATGTAGCTAATGTCCCGCTGATCTCCACCCGTGGAGAATGAGCTGATCTGGAAGGCCAGGGCTCCCGGTCACAGCTGTCTGGTCCTGCTTGTACAACCCCAGTCCATATTAGATCTCACAATTGGCCTAGAGACGAGTCCGTTGGCTGCAACACCCCCACCCCTCTCCCAATGGGGAGGGCCGACGATTCGTAAAAATGCCAGGGCCGAATTTTGGTCCCAGTCCACCCCTGGGGCCTAATAAGTATAAATGATATCTACTGATTAGTCGTAATTTGGCAAAATCTTGGACATTTATTTATTGTTCCCAGTAGTCAGAAAATCAACAAATATCCTGTTTTCCACAGCAATCTCACATC